CAACAAAATCAAGCACAATGACAAAAAAAATTTTGAGGGAACAAGTTGGTAATGACAAGCTGAAAGTAACTCATTGCAGTATAGAAATGAATGTGGTTGATATGATCACAAAGCTATTAATGAGTTGAGAAGTTATATATAAAAAAGTAGACCAAAATAATAATAATTTTTTTTTAAGGAATAGACTAATAGAAGTCAAACTTTGAATTTTGGAGGATATAATAAAAAGTATTGACATGACAATAAAATTGAGAAATTACTCTTTCATTCATGTTAAATATGTTTCTTTGATTTGAACATGACAATAAAATTGAGAAAATAATTCTTTCATATTCTTGCTATTCTGCCGAATTATTTAGTGTAGTATTAATGTCTATAAAGAGGTTGAGGAAAAACTACGTGTGTTAGAAAGTGAACAATACATGATTATAAGTTTTGAGAGGATAAAAATGATGAGGATAAATACAAAAGAATGGTTGATGATAATGATGCTTATGAGGTTTATAAATATGCTATTGAAATTAAATGTGTAATGCAGTTATATGTTGAGCATTATGTTAAAGGCGTAGTTGAAAATGATGGAAATGATGTTGAAGGAGGTGAACAAGATGATAGAAATGATGTTGAAAGAGGTGAACAAGCTGATGACAATAATGTTGAAGGATGTGAACAAGGTGATGGAAATGATGTTGAATTAGAGTATGATGAAATTGGTGAGGATGAAGTTGTTGGTATAATATTTGATGATAGTGAGAATGAAAGGACTTTTGGGTTGGATGATGGATTTTATATCATTGATAAAAAAAAGTGATGTCAATGCTAAAAAAGTAGGATAAGAGATGTTGCAAAAAAGCACACGAACACTCGAAAGAAAATTGTGAATGGTGATGATAATATTGGTTTATCATATGATATGGATAATGATTTGGAGGTTAATTATACCAGTGATAAGCTTGATAGTAATGACCTTATTGCTTCAGATCATGAGAAGGGACAAAAGTATGATAAGTTTATGGTAGAGGATTTGGACAAGAATTACAAGTTCTAAGTTGAATTGGAGTTTACATCACTTGACGAATTTAAAGAAGAAATTTGTTAGACGATAGACTTCGATTTAGAGGGGGTGAATAGATCACAAATTTAAAAGTAAAACTTTTGACAAAAATTATTTTCAAAAGTTTTATGACACAGTGGAAACAACCCGAATCGAATCGTCTAACCGAACATACTATCAAAAAGATCGAATATGCGTAACGTAAATCAATTAGGATGATAATGAACACAAATTGTTCAATAACGATTAATTCAGGAATCAATTAAATGCAAAGTTATTCGTAAAATTTATTTCCAATGAACACAAATAATTAAAATACTCAAAAACAATTTATCGAACACTTTGTGTGCGATCAATAATGATTAAAAATTCAATTTGTTTTATTGATGTTTAAAAGTCAATCACAATCAAAGTGATTATAATTATATCAAGAACAACACTATAAAAGATAATTGAAAAAAAAATTCTGATCGAATTGATCAAAAACTATGAACTCGATAATTTGCAAGAACAACGATTAGAGAGGGAGAGAGAGAGAGAGAGAGAGAGAGAGAGAGAGAGAGAGAGAGAGAGAGAGAGAGAGAGAGAGAGAGAGAGAGAGAGAGAGAGAGAGAGAGAGAGAGAGAGAGAGAGAGAGAGATTGGTTTAGACAGTTCCCCAATCAGCTTCGCTATGGGTACGTCTGCCCTCAATCCAAAATCGAATTGAGATACTTGCAATTAACCTTATCTTTGCAAAAATGTTTATACAAGAGATGAAAAACTCTAACCCCATAAACCCTACGGTTTGTTATTGATTCTACCACCTCCAAAACCTTGATCAAAGTTTGATATAGTCACCAACAATGCTGCTACAGTCCACCTGTTCTTGACTACTTGCTTGCAAGACCTCATCGTTTTCAAGGTTTTCGCTCGATCGGATTAATCCCTAGCACACACTTGTTGAACCCAAGATTCATGAACACAATCCACCTCTTGAAGTTAATCCCTTGCAAGGTTGTCCTCACCAAGTACTAAGGCCTCTTCACTCGATCAAATCTGCGTTCGCGTGATCTTGTCCAAAACCTTCAAATCCCAATGATCTTGAAGTAAAACTCCAACTTGGTTTTCTTATTTGAAACACACAAAGATCCCAACCCAATATTCTCGATTACACCAACCTAATTGGACATTATCAACCCTAACATAGATGGTCACCTAATCAAAAAATGATTATGTATAGTTTGATTGTGTGTATGCATAAAAGAAATGTTGAAGATGATGAAAAAAATTGTAATTTTGTTTTCATTTAGGTTTTACACTAGTATCTTACTAGAAAAAGATGCATGTATGAGTGTGTGTATGTGTGTGTGTGTGTGTGTGTGTGTGTGTGTGTGTGTGTGTGTGTGTGTATGTGTGTTTGTGTGTGTGTGTGTGTGTGTGTGTGTGTGTGTGTGTGTGTGTGTGTGTGTGAAAATAAGCAAAAATGATGTAAGAAAAAACAAGATGCAAAACAAATTTAAGTTTTTGAAAGCAATTGATCGATTTGTCAAGATACTTAGGTCGACCTAAGTGAGACGACCTCTGGGAAGAGCCTGCAAGATTTAATATTGATGCGTGAAGGTCGACCTATCCAGTTATGTATTGACATATACTGAAGCAAAGCTTCTATAGGTCGAACTAAAGTCATGTGTGTCGACCTATGCCATAATGTTCACACATAAAACTTCGTTTATGATGTATGTAGCATGTCTAAGACTTTTCAATCATTTTTAAAACCATTTGGATGCATCCTAAGGCTAAGATGATCAATGCACATCTAAACTTTGGTTGATACCGCCAAATATACAAAAATGCTAAAGCATTCTCCTAGTTTTGACATCATTCAAAACATGACTAGATGGAAGAATGCACTCACATACTCCTCCTTTTTTATGATGGCAAAACTTGAAGCATATAGACATTGTGTTTTTCTTCGGTACACTGAATAGCTCCACCAGAATTTGTGCATTATCCTCTTCATAATCTTCTCCCCCTTTGACAACATCAAAAGGAGGCAAGTAATCCTTTAGAAGCATCACATAGATGCACATTTCACATATATAGTATACTACACAGAGACAATTGCAAAGAGTAAGTACAAGATAGTTTTAGAGTGGATGTTGTTGCATAATTAGAATTCAACAAAAATGTTTTGGGTTCATGTGCTATGGTATGAACATATGGAGGATGGTCATCAATTTTATCATCCCATATAAATAAATTACAACTTGTCAGTACCAACAAATTTGGAGACAAAATCAACATTATCAACCAATATGAACAACGTACATTAACATAAACACAAACACATTAACCATAATTAAATGAAACAAGTTGTGGTAAAACTCACCCCCTCCCAATTTGCACATTTTCAATATCTTCTTTTAGGGTTTCATTGAAATTGAACATGAACATTCTCATTGGTCTTTTGCAACCGCATTCTGAGATTCGAAATGGGGTGGAGTTCGCAACAAACGACAAAGACACACTCCAATATGTATAAATAGAGGTTTGAAAGGGAAAGTGAATGGATATTAGAAGAAGATGAATTGAAAAACTACATTTTTTGGATTTCTTCTTTCCTTTTAAATCCATCAGACTATACAAGTTGGGCCAATCATTGGCCCAGTCCAAAACACAAGTCATGTCATTGTTGCCACAAAATAACTCAGCAATTGGACCAGAAACATTTGCCACATATACATTTTTGTAATGAAAACTTGACTTTGAAAACTAAATTCATCATATTCTTAACATTTAAGGACTATTTTAAATAATAAAAAAAATACATAAACTAAATTCAAAAACTCACTAGATGAATCATATATTAAAGTCTTATATATATTAAAGTTCAAAAGTTAACTCTCAGTTATAAAGAATTATAAAAATTAAAATTATTTTTACATTTTCATATACTAATTTTTAAAGTAATAGGTGGTATAAATAAATTTTCATAAAAAAAAAATTGAATAACTGCATCTATATTTCACTTTTATAAATAATTCTAAAAAATATAATAATTAATCAAACATATTTCATATTAAGTACATGAGGTTTAAATTCCTTTTTGAAAATAAATTTCTAATACATAAAATAGAAGTCTCACAATTTAAATTATATTTTGAGTCCTGTTTTTTTGTTTTTGTTTTTTTCTTTTAGGAATTGAGTCCTGCTATTGTTACAAGAGATTTATTTATATTATACAAAAAAGAAAAATGTATAAAAATAGAACATTTGTCAATGCTTGACAAACATTTTATTTAATATGTTTGTAGATTTTTGTCCAATTTTGGACAACTACAATAGTTATGTACCCAATACATTTAACAAATGCAATTTATCTTTATTTTTCTACATTTACAATGAACTTTTAAGTAGAAAAATCAAATTGTATTGGAGTGCATCCAGATTTTACTATCTAGATGAGGTGAAATGAGTAATTTTGAAATTTTATAGGGTTTAGAAGAAATAATAAGGGTTGAAAAAAAAACACTAAACTAAATGTAAAAGGCATGACCAAAACATGATTCTGGTTTTTGGCAGAACTAGAAGAAACTATAAATGAGGACCACAAGAATTCAAATTTATTGCAATTCTCAACAGATTAAACAGATTTCAGATATTGACATGAGAGTACAAAAACAAAAAATCACAATGTACATCACAGTAATTATCTATCATACCAACATACTCAATACCTCTCTCAGAAAAAATCTTATCTAGAAAACTAAAAATGAAAGCTATGGAAAAAAAATGAAGGTTTAAAAATGGGGGGAAATGGTTTACACCTTGATAAGGAATTAACTTCACTTAGGAAGCAAGGATGACATGTTTTCAGAAGTGCATTAAACAGCATTTGGATTCCAAAACCAAAAAATATGATTGATTTATAATTCGACTCGTCGAATGTGATAATGAGTATATATTTAAGCTATGATTTTCTTTCCTTTACTCTTATCCTTGAGGGTTCCTTTATATGGTTTGGATAAATCCAATGCATCGTTGGCAGTATTCGCAGTGTTTTTCTTTCGCTTTGTGAAACCATTGCCGGTAGTATTACCTATGGGACCTGACCAAGCTTGAAATGGTTCCTTTGAAAAGGTATAAGACATTGAATCCAAAGAGACATCATGAGGAACTATATCTGGATCAATATGATTTGATGCTCCCAAAGGAAATCCGAGTTGTCCGTCTTCATGAGGCGGAGGAAACTTTTCGCTCTTGCTCTTAGCATTAGCATGAGTTATTAGACGCCGTCTCTGTTACACATGAAACCATACGATCGAATTTTAGTCAGTCAGTGTTAAGTTTTAATTTCAACCATAATAATGCACATTTTCAGTTGTAAAAGATCCAAATGACTTATATCACAAGGAATGTATTAAAAGATGCATCTTTTGGATATCATGATATTGCATATTTCCAAATACAAAAGATGAAATTGAAAAATGTGTTCACAATCATGATACTTGATTATGCATGTATGGATGATATAATATTTCTTTTGACATACATCAATATTGTGTTGAAGCTCAGCATTGGCTTCAGGAGCAGCTTTTACAGCACGATCACGTGTCCGATGCTTCTTTCCCCCTTCAACTCGAGCTTTGGCTGCAGCTCTTGATCTGAACATTCATATTCATAGCAACTCAGAGTTGGTTAAATATACTAGTAGAGCTAACTTAAAAACTTGCAGATGCAAACGAAAAAATCAAAGGAACACTTCTCATTTCACATGACAGTTGATGACATTCACGTTTTGAACTAAAAACAATTATGGCAGCTTCTTCTTGCGTTTCTGAAACGTATCATTCCTGCAATTACGCCACCATGAACACCACTATGGCTACAACCCTAAAACGCAACGAAATGCTGTATTGCGTAGAGCTTGGCCGCTACGACACACTGCAGCTATTGCGGCCGCTACGGCCACAATTTACTACAGAGGTATAAATAGGAGAACACAAAAGGGTAGAGATTATCTTTAAACATTATAGTTCTCTAGTGTGAAGGAAAACCCCTTGAGAGATTCTCTCCTATTCTATCATATTTTTTAAATGAAGTGAGTTTCTTTGGAATTCAAATCAGGGGTTCCTACCTAACAATGTCTCACTTCTAGTATGCAGAAAGCAAAGTAAAGAACACATACCTTCTTGCTTCATCATCGCGTCGTTTAACATCCATTTCCTTGGTTGGGGGATAATTTGGAAGACTAGAAGGATCACAAGCATAAGGTTCTGTGGTAAAGAACTGCAAAAAAGATAGGATAGATGAGCAAAGTAAATATATGGTAAAGAGTATAAAAAAGAGCATCTAAACTTGACAGACAAGATCTACATCAGTTTCAAGAGAAGTTTTTTTATTAACATTCATTTTGGAATGTCCACAAACTTTATAATATGATCAACTGAAACATATCAATAAATTCACATTTAGGACCTTTATTAACTCAATATTCCAAAGAAAAGGGACGGCAAAGTGACCTTCGTGGGTAACTGGAGTTAGGAAGATAGTTTTAGTTTTTTTACAGTTAATTACGGGGTAAATTAGCAGTGTTATTAAACGCAGATCACGGAAAATAGAAAGTTGCCAGAAATCCAATATAAGAAATAACGGATAGTGTAGCAGGTAAATAGCGGAAGCCCCAAAACGGTTGTAATATAAATAATTCTATACAAAATAAAGCAAGTTGCACACAAATAAAAGTCGCAAGAACATAAATTAAACATAAAATAAAAAAGTAATTGACATAAAACTCAAAATCTCAATATTTCAAACAACTAACAAAGCAGGATGCATTGTTGCATAGATTGCGTGAAGAAGATGAAGAAATGTAGTGGATAACAGATCTGTTACTTGATAATGGAGGCAGAGTGTAGTGAGGTTTTATTGCTTTAGATATTATAAACAATGCCCGTTAAAACACACAATTCTGCTATTCATTATGTACCGCTGTAACCGATATATCAAAATGCACCGTTATACTACAAAAAAGCGGAAGTGACATGTCATATCGCCTTTCATATTGGCTACCCCGAATTCCGATACATAATAGCAGTATAGCGGTTTTTTAACAAAACCAGTAATTAGAAAAATAAGACATCTTGATTACAAATAAGAAGGGTTGAGAGTGAGCAAAATCTTGTCATGATATCAAATCAAACAGGTTGATCCTATTCCAAGAAGAGATGCACATATTAAAATATAAATAAACAAAGCTTAAGAGACAGATACATCCTCAGGATGAGATGGTATAGAACTCCAACAGTTTCCCTTGGACTCTCAAACAACAATCAATATTTTACTGACCATTCTCCTATAGCAGCACTTTATAACATTCAAGTACATTCTCTGTACAAACTACTCAGGGCAAGAAGCCCAAGAACCAAGCTCCTAGAAGATTTATTGTTAACATCAGAAGAATCCATTGGCAATCATTGCAGTTAAGGAACATACACGCCTGACCATAAAACTAGTTACTCTGCAGTTAAGGAACATACATGCCTGATCATAAAACTAGTTACTCGTCATAAATAAGTCATAGGGTTCGCAAAGAATACACAGCTGTATACGTTTCACACAGGAGTCCTGGGTATGTGTTCTAGGAAATCTATATGCACCGAGAAAATAGATCGGGATCAAAGAGATTACGACGGCCTAATGGGCATGAAACAGTAATATGAATAAAAAGGCGGTACAAAATTAAAAACACTGCTTGCATATTAATAACAAAAAAGATGAAGAATTTTCAAAAGCCAACCTCACTTCTAAGAGCATCTGAGGCACTCTTCCGTTCTACTGGATCAATTGCAAGAAGTGTATCGATAAGGGGTAGAGCAGACGGTGGAAATTCTTTAAAAAGCTCTCTTATGCTTCTTCTGTATGGTTCTCGAGGTTTGAACAGGGTAGCATTGGGCAACTTTGACTTCTTCCAATACTCATCAGAAGGTGAACCACACAGCTTGTATATCTTATGCAGTTGCTCCACCTGTGTAAAACATTCAACCATGGAGACTTCAAATAACCAGCAAATGTCCTTATTGCAAAAACAAAATCCTCAAACTATGTAAGAGATGTTAGAACTAAACATAAGATCTACCTATTACATCATTTTAAAAGGACAACTAATGAAACATACTTGGAGATGAGTTTTATAAAATACATAAATCCTATAGATAAATAAGAGAGCGTAGTTTCCTATACATCAGTCCATCATCGTCTCATCGAGTCATCATCATAGCTCCTCTAAATACTTACAGATGCAGGACCTGATTATCCTTCTAATTATGAAGGTGCTCAACTTGATTTTCCATTAAGCGAGAACTAAATAATACAGCCAAACTATGACTTAATAGAAGTCAGCTTTGATAAAATGTTTTAAAGAAGTAACAATGATAATTTGTAATAGTTTTAAAATTTTCTATTCTTTGCAGTTCTTTTGTTAAGAAAAATCTAGTTAAGCTCCACCACTTGATTTACATTTACCCTTAAATTTTCAATGAAACCTCTTTTTGACAATTGATCAGACTCAGACTCCTATAATAAACTTAGCTCCTTTTTACCCATTCTTTGTTTTTGTTAATAATTTCACACTTGATAAGATAAAGCTTGAAAATGTGTTCATAAGTGGAGGCCAGTATCACCTTACAAGTTAGTTCTGCAAGTGTTGAGTTAGACCCAACACAAATTCTAAAACGGTATAAGATCCTATCTAAGATCCATTGGACCGACCACTATCAGTGTTATCAAATTGCGGCGCCATGGCCGCTATGGTGGATATACATGATGGTTTTTGGACTCTCCGCAATGGTAAATATCGGCTGATATTGCGGGTTTTTCTGCCAGAATCCACTATATCCGCACCGCAAAGCGGACAGTATTGCGGGATTTTGGCTCTCCACCATGGACCGCCATCGAGAAAACTGCTATCGAGTGACTTACATCACATTCTAGGTGTTCAGTCTTGGGCGTGAGGCACGTGTGTTAAGAATCCTACGGTGGACGAGGTAAAACGTGAAAAATGTGTTCATAAGTGGTGGGCAATCTGCCGATTTTCTAAGGGTTGAGTTAGCCCAAACCTAAATTCTACGAGTTTTCAACAGTACAAATATGTATACTAAGCAACATGAACAAGTGGCCTAAACCAAAGGTACAAATGCTGCAGAAAAAAGAAATAGTTAACTGAGTATTTAATGAAGCAATTATACACACTGACTAGAGAGACTAGATGTAACAAGCAGTTACAACCTCTTCAATTACTGGCTTTTATGCTTTCTGGATTTATTCTACTTTTGTAATAAATTTTAAAGCTTGGCACAGGCTTAGACGACTGTGTATGTTGTAAAATAGAAAGCTTATTGAAGTAACACGCTAACAGTTTGCACAGATTGAGAGGTAGAGTAAGTTCTATAAATCAAAACAAGACATATTAAATTATTACCTCCGTACGACCGGGCATAATTGGTTTCCCATACAATAACTCTCCTAAAATGCAACCAGCACTCCAGAGGTCCACACCCACACCATAATCTGTGGCACCCAAAAGCAACTCAGGAGGCCGGTACCAAAGGGTAACCACGCGATTAGTCATAGGATGCCTGCGGTTTGGATCAAAGAAAGATGCAAGTCCAAAGTCGGCAATCTTGAGTACTCCTTCGCTGTCAATCAGAAGATTTGATCCTTTAATATCGCGGTGAAGTACATGCCGATTATGACAGTGCTCAAGTCCTGATAGCAGTTGATGCATGTAACATTTTACCTGCAAGCAATAAACAAGTATTTATTTGGATGCATCAAATACTGCAATTGAAAAGAAAGAAGGTATGTCAAATTATATCAATCTTATTTCTCAAATAATTAAGGCAAACCTGATCTAACCTGAGGCTCTGTAAACTTGATGTCAGGGCTTGCAGCAAGTCCAGCTAAATCATGTACCATATAATCAAACACCAGATACAAACTCCAGGACATTCTAGATGTAACTAAACCTTCTAACTTTATAACATTGGGATGATCCAATCTTCGCAGTATAAGGATCTCTCTAGCCATGAATTTTACACTCTCGGGTTCCAAATTGTCAAATCGAACCTTTTTCAATGCAACAATCTTACCCGTTAAAGTATCTTTAGCTTTATACACATTACTATATGTTCCTTGGCCGATCTAAAGAAAACAAAATTAAAGAAAAAAATAAGTATTAGAGTATAGAAGAAATTTGTTAGCACGAGCAACTGAGAGATTCTATGCAATTAGAATTATTCTGCTTCAATTAATGAGGACTTAAATCCCTTTAACCTTGGCCACAAATTGATCATTTCAATAATGCATAATGAGTTTGCAAAACACTATCACAACTCACAACATCAATCAAACATATCCTCAACTTCAAACCACATGCACTTGATATATAAACTAAAGTCCAAAATTTTAAAAATAAATACAAACCAACCTTATCTATTTTCTCAAACGTATCAGCCTTCCGCGGAATCCACCCATTAAGGGCTTCCCCACAAACCGCTGTAAGCCAAGAAGGCCATCCAGCTGCTACTTGCTCCCCTTGCAAATGCTTCGGCAGGTTACTCAACCTTGGATTCGGCTTTGATCTTCTTCTTTCACCCTTTGGCCGCTGAACCCCATCACCGTCAATTTTCTCTTCCTTCTCCTTAACCTTCTTCACCCTCACCTCTACCACATTCCCCTCACCTCTACTCGTGGACACTTCTTCAACCTTCCTACTCGACTCAACTCTCAAACTATTATCCTCCTTCACCTCAGTAACAATACCCGATTCCACTTCTCGGCTAATTACACAACCCATTTCCCCTCAAATCCAAGCTTCATTTTGTCGACATGGTTCACTTCACCTACGTAATCCAAATGCTCAATCCCTCAATCACGACATTAACCTAATCCAAAAAACACAAGCATCATCAAGATTACAAAATTGACTAAAACTAAAAAACACACTCTTCCCTTTTTACCCCTAATTCGACAATCCCGCAACAATCGATAACACCATCGAGTAAAATCGAAAAACAAACACATCACGCGAAGCAAATAACTCCGAATTCAAAATCAAAACTAGAACTAGTTGATGCCTTGAATGATCATGAACTGAACCATAAATAAGCACTACCATAAACAAACCTAATAACCAAATTGAAGTAAAAAGCAACAAGATTGAGTGATCTATAAACATGGAAAGTGAATAATTTCGGAACTTCCGCAAAAAGCACGTGATGGGTAAAAAAACAAAAGGGGCAAATAACAAAAAGGGAAAAGGGGAGAAGAGTATCTTACAGTAACAGCAAGCGAAGGTGGAATTTCTACGAAGAGGAGAAAGTTGTCTTGTCTGTGCAAGATGTTTGGTTTTGAGCAGTCTTTTTCAGCGTGAGAGACAAAGAGAAAGAATATGGTGCGAAGAAGGATGAGAATGAGATCTTCGTACTCTCACACGAAGTCAAAGCTTCAAAATCTACTTCTAATAAAGTAATCTATAAATTCCTTTTTAGCATTATACTGGTTATTGCTAAGGCCCAAAGTAAAAACTATATTACTACTAAATAAATATATATATTTTTGGTGAAACATTTTTTATTTTTCTTACTTTTTATTATAATAATATAAACTTTGACCAAAATATAATATAAATGAAGAAAAGTCATATTTGTATTACAAGATATAAACTACACTTTAATTAACAGAAAATTTTAAATGTGAAATAAATTAACTTATAAAGTTAAATAAAAAGAAATAGTAATTGAAAAAATGCAATTATTTATTAATTACATCTAAAAATTAAATAAAATTAGTTTTTATTTTTAATTTAGTGTTAATTGGATTAATTTATAATTGACATTTGAATAAAATTCAAAATTCAAGTTCGGGTTTATAATATTGTCAGCATATTATTGAGAGAGATGAAATTTAGTCGGTTTCACTACGAAGGATATATAAGTATTTGTAAACTCTCTCATCCAAGTTAGTATAGGTTGTTAGATTTTCAATGTTAAAGAATGTGTACCTTAAGTGTTAATAGTGTTATGCTTATATAGCCTTGAATTTGTGGTATTGTATTTGAACCAACCATAAGTCCAAATTGAAACAGTAAATTTCCACATTTTCAGTTGACGAAGTCGAGTAATGGCTTAAGTATGAGGACTCATTTGGATTGTTGATTGTAAGTGGAGATTGGGCGATGTTTTGAGTTTGGCGTTTATAGATTATGAATTCCTTGTTGGAATCATTATTGATTAAATAAGATATATTGATGATTGGTTTAAAGGAGGAGGAGTTGTTGTTGAACAAATGACTCCAAACACAAAAGTGAATAAATTATAGTATTTAAAATTTATGATTAATTTAAAATAGTTTACTTAAAAATAGCAATTTGTGTTAATATTGAAATAACATAGAGAAAAACAGTGAAAAGATAATAAAAACAAGAAGATAATTAGATAAATGATAGAAAGTAAATAGATGAGATTAGAGAGATGACGTCGAAATTTATAAAGATTTGGTCGAATGTTGGCCTAGTCATATTCCCAATAGATCTTCCTGAGAGTTTTAATAATGACTTGAACTTTTACAGGTTATGTCCGCAAACCTTTGCTACAAGCGAATTGAGAGATTTTGCACTAGCTTATCCGTCAAACCAAACAAGAGCCTTTATATGGGATGAGCTCACGAATTGAATAGAGATTTTACTGGCTAATCTCAATAATCAAACAGAAATCTTACCCGACAAATCTCTAGAATAAAAAAGAACCTTAAAGAGAATCGCACTCTTGAAATAAATAAACAAGGCACAACATCAGTACTAAATTTTCCTCACAAGTAATTTTCACTCACAATGCACTAAGGAAATTTTTGGTGGAAAAAATATTGTTTGTGTATATGGGAGAGAGAGAGAGAGAGAGAGAGAGAGTAATTGAATAGTAAGAAATAAGAAAACTTTGAATTGTTCTGTATTTTTTAATGATGAGAGACCACTTCTATATAGGAGAAAATGATGAGAGATCACTTTTATATAGGAGAAAATGATGAGAGATCACTATTTCCATGAGCTGAATTAAAAAAGATAATTGATTATTCCAATCCATTATTACACGTGAATAATTGATTGTTCAAGCCTCAAATGAAAGGTTTTGATATTTAATCATTGTCAATCATTAAGAATTTGTTCCAATCGATTTTGAGTGTTACAAAGATAGTAATTGATTAGAACATTAGGCTAATTAATTATTTAGCTGTAAAATATCTCTCAATTGATTAGATAATTCCATAATTAACTAATTAGGCCATAAAAAGGTTTTTTTTTATGTGATTTTAGGATATGTGTGTGTGTGTGTGTGTGTGTGTGTATGTGTGTGTGTGTGTGTGTGTGTGTGTGATAAAGAGAGAGAGAGAGAGAGAGAGAGAGAGAGAGAGAGAGAGAGAGAGATGAGTTCCTTAGGTATTACTCTCCAACTTTCAATAGACTATAATCACTCAAACAGACACGAACGGGCAAGCTTTCGCACTTCCTCTATTTCAGAACTCTAAAGCTCTCAAGTTCCTTTGTCGGATATGTCTGTTGGAACAAAATTTGTTAATATCATATCCCTTGGATTTCGATGATAATAAAGTATTTAAAGAACAATTGGGTACTCAATGGAGATGAATAGATGCCTGTGGATTGTGAATCTGAAGTTCAGACATTGGCTCTGAAGATCACTTTAAAGACTATAGCTTTAATGGAAGATCCAGACTCTGAAGAAGTCAACATCTAAAGAAAGTCAGCCTCTGGTGATCTAGATTCTGAAGCTTCAGAAGCCTAGAAGCAGACTCTGAAGAGATTAACCTCTGAAGAGTAAAGTTTGAAGAAAGTTAACCTCTGAGTAATAATCTCTTTAATCAAGACAACTATGACAAACTCAAAGATCTTTTGTTCACATGAAGACTTAAGGAAAAATATCATCATTGTTGTCTAAGCTTCAACGAATAATTTTTCTTGTATAAAGGTGCTTTCTTGATGTGTCCAATCAAGTAAAAAGCCTGTCCTACTTTTTGGTGAAAGTCTTCCAACATCATCCTACTTTCTCTCTATATAAGGAATTAAAAGTGATGGAGATAAAGACTAATAGATTGCAATACAAGACTTTGAACATTGACATTTCTAATTTTTTTTTCATTCTATCAAAACAAGCTAGACTTTGAACCTTTTAACACTCTGAATATTTTAGAAGTTCTTAAGTCTTAGAGTATTTCTAAGTTGTATTTTGTCTATACCTCTGATTGTATATCAAGTGTAGTTGTTACCCAAATCTCTTAATACGTTTTATGTGTCAAAAGTCTCTTGCTTTAGTGCTTGAGCATTTGAAGTCTCTTACTTGTGTGCTTGAGCATATAAGTCTCTTAATCGAGGTTTTGAGCATTTGAAGTGTCTTGATTGGTGCTTGAGTATTTGTAATCAGTTTGGTTATAGTGAAAATCCCTTGGACGTGCAAGGAAAATGAATTACTCCCAAGTTATAAGAGGAACTGGGATAACCGATGTGTTTCTTTTCTATTACTTTCCTGCTTTCTGAACTTATTATTCTGCTGCTATCAATTGTGTAACTTCGAGTCAGAATCTGATAAGGACTAAGAAAAGTTAACCTAGTGATTCTAAGTCAGACTTTGAACTAAATGTTTAGAATATAATTAAGATCAATCAGAAGTAGAAGAAGAAAAAGATTAGAAAAGAAAAAGACAACACAATTCAACCCCCCCCCCCCCTTTTTTAGTGTTTTTCTCACTTCCAATTGGCATCAGAGCTTGGTTTATGTTAAACACTTAACAGTAGTGCATAAAATATCCTTTGAAAAATACCTTTTAGAAAATGGATGATTATGAAATATATCACTCTGATGATGGCATTCCTAATCATTTTGGTGTTGTTAATCATGATCATAGTACATCTGAAAAGAATAAATTTGTTGCTAGACCTTAAACATTCAGTGGAGACTCTGCTGAATTTGAATGATGTAAAAGCAATATGTACACACATATCATAGGTCTTGATGGTGAGATGTGGGACATTCTTGGAGATAGAATTGATATTTATGTGAATGTAATATGAATGGTTGCAGATAGAAAAATTCTCACACCAGCTCAGAAGAAGACTTACAGAAAACATCACAGAGTGAGAGGCATTCTGGTAGATGCTTTGCCTCACTCTGAGTACAGAAAGATACTTGACAAGTCTACTGCCCAAAATATTTTTGAATCTTTATGTGCTACTAATGAATGAAACCAACAAGTTAAAAAAGTCAAAGTTAATCTTCTGGTTCAACAATATGAGTTATTCAGAATGAAAGAAGATGAAAATATTGAAATTGTGTTCTCAAGGTTTCAAGTTCTTGTGTCTAGAATTAAAGTCTTAAACAAAATTTATACCACCTTTGATCCTATCAAGAAGATTATTAGAAGTCTTCCTATCAGATACAGACAAAAAGTGATAGCAATTTAGGAAGGTAAAGACCTGAACAAAATCAATCTTGAAAGTCTGATCAGTAATCTCCAAAGCCATGACTTAGAACTCAATGGAGATGAAGAACCAATCAAGAAATCAAAGTCTCCATATTTGAAATCTATTGTGAAGTTTGTTAGTTCTACACATATTTTGGAGCATAAGCCACTCATGCTAAAGCTTCTAAAGAAGATTCAGATGATGATGAAATGGCTTTTATCATAAAGAGATTTTAGTATCTTGCTAGCAAGATTAGATGATCCTCAGGAAAAAATTCTGGCTTTAGAAGATCAAGCTCTAGGTCTAACAAAGATGGCCAGAAAGGAT